GGAAACAGCACTTGTTAAGCCGAAAAAAAGACAAAAACATGGAAAGCAAAAAAGGTAACATAGTTCAGCTGATGAATGAACCAAGCTTCAAAACATCCAGCTTCCAGACTTATTATGCAAAATAATAAACCTCTTATTATTAAATCTGCAAATTTATATGTTATTCAATTAGATACCAACTGGATAATCCAACTGCAACTCTAACAGCTGTAAATGTGCCCCATTACCAACAGTTCAAGTTTCATTTCTCCCTGGGGGGTAACAATCACTAAATGAAAGCCTCATCAATTCTGTAACAGCAATACTTTTTTACTTAGTCTAAATTTTCTATTTTACGCCAAATTACTTTCAGACAATGTGCTGGCAAGCTTATAAAAATGTAAGTTTTCCCCTTTCACAGTACAGATGAAAATGATCAAATGACCATTCTTGGAAAAGTATTTGGCAATTCTGGATACTCATCATCTCGATATGTATACACACACAAAAATTAATTATATATATCATAAAGACTACAATTTACTTGAAGACTATTAATATATTGGTTGAGTGTTAATATTTCTGTTCCTTTGCTAAAGGGTGTCAAACATATATCCCCCCCCCCCAAAAAAAAAGCTAGTCTAAATAAAGCCTCCTGTGAGAATAGAAGACATTCCTCAAAAGCAGGGAACCAATCTTACTGATCTTCCAGAGTACAGTGCCTGGCAAAGAATAGTTTTCAAATAATGTGTTAAACAGATTTAAGTATGTGGACCTGAAATCAATAAATCGAGAATAGGAATCCAGAAAATGTTTCCTAAAGTGCCATTTAGTCCCCACAGGTTTAGCCATTTTGAGTGGAATCCATTTTACCTGTCTCACTATCACTCCCTGACTAGAATCATCTGTGTTGACCTTTAGCAATTAAGGGCCTTCAGAAACAGCTGCAGGAATTGCAAATACAGCTTAGCTTTTGGGGCTTTACTAATGAATAACAGAAAACATTGTGGAGCACTACATTTCAATTATTTGATTTTCATGTAAGTCTGATGCTAGAATATGAGGAGTGAGAGCAGGAGTGGTAAGTTGAAACCAGACCATGCTGGTCATTAAGTTACAGTCCTAAGAAGTTTAGATTCTACCAATTCTATTTTAGGAAAGAGAGTTAAATGTTCAGATATTTATTTTAGATAAATGGGTCTGCAATTATGTGAAGGATGGCTATAAAATGAAGAGGATGGTTATGTCTGGAGAAGTGAGAGGTAATGATGGCAGAACTACAACAGTGGTTGCAGAAGCAGAAATCCCTTTAGTAGTTATTTCTAATAAAATGTATACCAGGTGACTAATCTCAACTTGTCTAAAACAACACATTATTCTCCCTTAAATGACCCTCTGACACTCTTCTGTCTCAGGAAATGACTGAAATATTCACTAGGTAGTTCAAGCTAGAAAATCAGTCAGCCTGATTTGATACTTTCCTTATCTCCTAAATGCAAATCAAATACTATATCCTGTGCTTTCTAACTGCTAAATAGCTCCATAACCCATTCACTTTTTTTTTTTTCCTGCTTTTCCCATTATATCGTACCCCACCATTATTTTTGCTTTGGATCAGTGGAATGGCCTCCGAACTGATACTGCATATTTACTCTTCATGTCTTAAATTCATTCTCCACATTGATCCCAAAGTTTTCCCTCTCTTATACCATAGAACATTTCACCATCTTGCTTAAAACCCTTAGTGCTTTTCTTGTAGATGACACCCAAGAAGGAAGAAGGAAGCCCCTGCCCCTCCCAAAGCCAAAGAAGCAGCTTTGAAGGCCAAGAATGCAATACTGAAAGGCATCCACAGCCACAAGAAAAAGATCTGAACTTCACCCACCTTTCAGAGGCCCAAGACACCGTGACTCCAAAGGCAACCCAAATGTCCTCATAGGAGTGCTTCTGGTAGAAACAAGCTTGACCATTCTGCCATCTTTAAGTTTCCCCCTGACCATTGAGTCAGTCATGAAGAAAACAGAAGACAACAAAGCAATGTGCTCATTGTGGATGTCAAGACCAACAAGCACCAGACCAAATAGGCTGTGACATTGAGGTAACCAAGGTCAACGCCCTGATCAGATCTGATGGAGAGAAGGCATGTGTTCAACTGGCTGCTGAATGTGATGCTCTGGATGTTGCCAACAAAATTGAGATCATCTAAACTGAGTCTAACTGGCTAATTCTAAATATAATTTTTTTCACCATTAAAAAAAACAAATCCTTAGTAGCTCCCTATTGTTATTAGAACAAAGTCCAGAACTCTTGGCTTACAAGATTCTCTGGTATCTGACTCCTACCTAAAAACAGTAAAAACTCTTATGATTACAGAGCATTTATTATATGCTATGCTTTGCAAGCATTATTTTGTTTTATATTCTCTTAGGTAGGAACTATTAGTATCCTCCTCATTTTGCAGATTAGAAAACTAAATCAAAGGGACAATATGTAATTTATCTAAGCTAATATTGTAGTCAGACACAATACTTCAGAGAATGTGCTTTTAAGTTTTCATGTTCACCTAGACTGTACACTCCAGCTACACTGTTTAACCTTCAGTTCCTAGAATTTATCTATTCTCTCTTGCCATAAGGTCTTCAGCCATATAGTTACCAATGTTTGGAATATCTCCCTTCACAAATCTCATTTTGACTATTCATTTACCAAATCTCTCCTTAAATATCATCTTTTTCTGGGAAGCCTTCCTTAATATATAAATCCCATTATTTATTTGTTTATTTCTTAATGATCTATTTCCCTTCAGTAGTATCAGAACTTCTCAGTTCTTAGAATGTCTATCACCAGGTGCTCGATAAACATTTATTGAATGAAGGCATAAATGAATGTGAGTGTGGAAATTTCCTAATCTAGTAGCTTCATTTAATCAGGCTGATAAGGAACAAAAAGAAGTCACATATAAATTTGTTCATCCACCAGATATGTATTTAGTGGCTTCCATGTCCCAGCCAATACTCTTGAGAACGTATAGCCCTCCTGGGGTTGACAGACACATAAACATATGATTATAATAGCACTTTACGTAAAGCGGCAGGAATGGAGTACAATAGATGCAGAGATGAAAAAAAAGCATAAGCCTATGGGAAACCTTTATAGAAAAGAGGATGAATGAGTCTTGAAATATATATCACATAGTCCATGTATTTCACTTACGAAAGGGAGAAGAGTACCCACTACATACCAGAGTACTTTACATCTCATTTAATTCTCACAACAGCTCAGATGATATTCTTATTTTATGGATGTGAAAATCCAAGCTAAAAGAGGTCAAATAACTTGTCCAAAGTTAAGAAATACTTCAGTGAAAGAGTAGGATTTGAGGCCAGGCTTGTCTGACTTCAGGAGCCATTTACTTACCATTATATCAGTCTTGACCCTTTACTCCCCAGAGTCTAATTACTGCTGTTTCCAATATAACTCTTAATAAAATCAGTTATCTGGTTCCTATTTTAATATAAATAAGAAGCAAAATAATAGGTTCAGAAAAGAGAAAGTGGCGGCTACTGACAGCAAAGGAAGGAACAAAAAACTATAAAAACAGAAGACAAAATAAAAAGGCATGCATGGGTCACTCATATATATGCCACCCACTACTTTACAACAGTACTTGAGGTGCATAATGATGACCCCATTGTGGGAGGGAACGGCTACTGACAGCAAAGGAAGGAACAAAAAACTATAAAAACAGAAGACAAAATAAAAGGCATGCATGGGTCACTCATATATATGCCACCCACTACTTTACAACAGTACTTGAGGTGCATAATGATGACCCATTGTGGGAGGGAAAAAGTTATTATAGTCACTACAGTCTAAATGATAGAAAAATAACTTTTGATATTTAAAAGGGTAAACTTAAGGTATCTAGAATATTAATTCCTCTCTGGTAACTCTGAATAAAGGAAGTATAATAATTGTTTCCAAAATGTTTCTTTGAGAAATATCCTAAGAGCGTAAGTAGCCTTTACTTTATGGACAAGATTATTGCTTTATATTAAATTCAAACCAGAATAGAAAAACAATCCATCATAGCTCACATGTATATCCCAGTACGATAAACTATAAAAACTTCTCACAATATGGTCTTGAACAACACATGTGGAGTAATTTTTAAAAATGTGAAGAGCAGTATTGACTGTTCTTAATATCCAAACACTACCTTTCCAAAAAAAAAAAAAAAAAAAATTCTAATAAGTCTTCTAACAAAATAGGATAAGCTGATTATGTACAAAACAGGTGAAAAACTGTATTTTTTATCTATTGTACTCACAACTTAAATAGGTACATATGTGAAAAAGAAAAGAAACAACTTAGGCAAACACAGAGAAAGCTGATTGAGCAATTTACCATCAGAGTCTTTCTACCATATATACTCCACCTGGATCCAACTTTTGAATTTGACGATGTCAGTTCCTTTTTAACACAGGCTTTCATTATTCTATGTAATTATTTTTGAAGAAAGGTTGCATTTTAAAGAACACACCCTGGCTTTTTGTTTTAAGAACAAGAGAAAACTGACGAATTATTTTGAACAAGCTGAGTAGGAAACATTTAATATCCTTTATCATTTTAGAGGCTTTGAAATTTGAAACTTTCCACACAGAACGCTGTTTGTAACAATGTAAAAAGCATACTGGCTACCCTTCCCAACATGTAAAAATGAATGTAAGGAAAAGCAAGTGTTTACTTGCAATTATCTCTAACTTGCACGTTTTCCCAAAAGGAATGCAGTTTCTGCCTAAAACACCCTAGAAAGAAAAGACTTGTTTACTTATGTTTGCAAATTGCTTTTACTTTAGTTTATCTTGTCAGTTTAGGCCCTAATTTTAATATTTTACAGAACACTTTAAGTTTAGGATGTAAATTCATAATAAGAGTTCATATCATAACGCAAACACAAAGTAAACATTTTGAGTAAAATTTCACTGTAATAGAGTTGTACTTATAATACTCTTCCTTACCTGGACGCTCTTCAGAATAAACTCACTTTTCTCTCTTACATCTTTAAAGGGACACCTCTTAGAAAGCATAAGCAGATGAGCAAGAAGCTTATTCAACCCATCCAAAGAAACAGCATTTGAAAGCCCGTCTGATGGAGGACAAGGTGTCTCTTTCAACGAACGAAGGTACTCAGTTTTTCTCAAAACGATTTGCCTAATGTTTTCCATTGCTGTCTCTCTAGTAGTTGAATCTCTACTGCACAGTCCATCCCATCTCACTTCATTCTCTCCTTCAGCCATCACAACTGGAGCTTTTCCTCGCGGTCTTCAGTTACCTTTCAGCATGTCACCGAAAGCACTTTGTGTTTTTTAAAACGACAAATGCAAAAATCAAAAACAGTCATGAAAACACACGTCTGCGCGACATGTGGAACCAGAAATGTCTTTTCTACTGATGGCTTTCAACCAGTCTACAAGCTAGAAAAGATACGAAGGGACACAGTCTTCTGGTCAGAGACTGGCAAAAAAAAAAAAAAAAAAAAAAAAAGTTGGAAAGTTGAAACCTTACAGCGCTGGCTGTGCTTGACAGGCGATCTCCGAGCAGCGGTCTCCTGCGTCTCTCGGGGTCAGCGGATGTCCTCGCGTCGTGGAGCTGTCAAATCCGTGCTCGGCCCCCAAAGGCTGCTAACCGTGGAACGCTCTCCAGTCATTCGGGGTTTTTTGTCTGTGCAGCCACCGTGTTCTCGGGAGCATTCCCACCCCGCCCCTCCTCCGGCACCAGTCCCCGCCCTCCGCAGCTCCTCCCCGCGTCTCCGCAGCCGGCCGGACGCTGGCCGCACGGGCGCGCAGGATCCCGGCTCGCTGGCCGCGGCTGCTGCGGACTCAGCCGCCCTGGGGGCGTTTTCTGTTTTCCTCGGCGGTCGCGTAGAAGGGAAGCGGCTCCCGCCCCGCTGACTGAAGACCCCCGGGCAACGGGATTTCTCCCCCGGTCTCCGCGACCCAGCCCACCGCCGGCCACGCCAGGGAGGACAGGGCGTCCCCGCAGTCCCCGGGTTCAGGGCTGGGCCGCGGCGCTGGAGGAGCGGCAGGGCCCCAGGCGCACAGTCCGCCCCTTCGCCCAGCCCCATCGGTGGGGCTCGGCCCAGAGGGCGGGAGCAGGAAGGAGAGATGGGGTCCTCACCCCAGCCCCTCCCCTTTCTCCGCCCGGCACAAGCCAGGAGCCGCCCCTGCCCCAGCGCCCTCTTCCCCGCCCCGGCAGACGCGACCCACGGAGGCAAAGCCATTGGAAAAAGCCCCGCCCTCCGCAGGCTACCTCCAGACCCCAAGTCCGCGCACGGCCGCCAACCGCTGCCGGTTGCTACGCATGCGTGACGCAAGCAGGGCGCATGCGCCTTAGAAGACGCAAAGTACGCCTTGGCGGTGTTTTCCGTGCGTCGAATTTCGGCGTCTCGGCGCTGGAGAAAGGGAAAGAAAAGGACGAGAAGGTGAAATACACTGAAACTATCACAGTCAAGAAAATCACAAGGAAAGGGGGCCCGAAGGCACGTCTATAGAGATTGAATCTAAATTTTAAGATTAGTCTTAAAATAGCGGCGGTCTCTTATTACGCCACACCCCAGATTTAAGGAGGCAGGGCTTCCGCGCAAGGGCTTATAGGAGATGTAGTTTTGACACGACCGACGCGTTTCTGCTTGCGACAAGAAACTACAGCCCCCAGGAGCCACTGCGACGTTGCCAGGGCCGGCCCGGGAGCCGACGGTTAAAGGAGAAGGAGGTTGAGAGCGTGGAGTTGGTGAGCGCTGTGGGCTTGGCGGGCACTTTTCCTTTTACAGGGTTTTCCCTTCCTCCATTTCCTCTGGGATTTTGGAGACGAAGCCATCCAGGGACGCCCTCTCAAGGGCTTTTTCTCCCCAGCAGTTTGCGTGGGAAGGACTAGCCCGGGTACCCAAGCCTGAGGACACTCCTGAGGATTTGGGAATGGTCGCGATTTCAAGGTCACAGGGAGCAGATTAAGGCCAGGTGAAAGGAATGATGTGAAAGTGGGTGCTCCTAGCTTCTGTCTCTGCTCTGCCCTTTTTAGTGGACTCGCGCTGGATCCAGTAGGGATGCCTGTGCGGTTGCACCTTTGCTTGTCCTTGCATTAGGATGTTCATTTGCTCTGTCAAATCCCAAACAGGGCTTTGAAAGCCAGCTGTCAGATTGATGTTGTATGAGACAGAGTGGAAAAGAATCCCCAGTATTCCTGGACGTGACTTTTTGCGAGGCTTACGGGCACTATATGAAATAGACAAACACAAAACTCCAGAATTCAATATATTTAAAAGATTCAAGCATTTGTTTATAAAGTGCTTTTTTTTTTAAGTCGAGGTGAAAAAATAAGACTTGAAAGGCAGTCAGTGGAATGATACTCAAATTAGATTTAATTCTTCACATTGCAGAAAAGATGTGTTTCTATCTAGCCTTGTAGGTCCTGAGTATTTTTTTTTTTAAATCTGCTTAGAGAAACCAACAGTTATGCATACTGTTGAACTACAATATATCATTGGGATGGCTAGAAAAATCACTTAGCCCTGTCTGGGAAAATCAGGGAAACCTACATCAGGGGGAAGTGGAGAACAAACGAACAGCATGTGATGAGGCCTAGAGGGGAGACAAGTTTGGTACTTTCAGGAAACTGCAATAAGTCAAATCATATATTTAAGAAGGGGTGATTGATTGCTTACCGATGTACTTTGAAGTTCTGCAGAGACAGTTTCTAAAACAGATTTATAGTTTCAATGAATCTGACTAATGTGGCAAGCTTTGCTACATTCTAATTCTGTTTGTTTAAATCAGAATTTTAAAAATGAAAGTAATTCTGAGTGTGATTTTAAAACACAAATGAAAAAGCCATTCCTTTTTTTGGTTCCTGTTTGTGCTCATCTTCCTATGTTCAACCCACAAAGATCAGGGTAATTTTTTTTTTTTTTAAGATTATTTGTTTGTTTATACATAAAGCTTACAGTCTAATTTCACCAGATAGCACTGAGGTTGCACGCCATGTGGGACCCTCCTCCGGTGCCCTCAGCCGGGATCGAAGCGCTGCAGGCTTCGCACCCAGCGCTCAACCACTGCGCCACAGGCCCGATCAGGGTAATTTCTTAAACCTAGCTTCCCTTTCTAATTTCATGGTTGATGTGACCTCATCCATGCCTGTGGTTTCACCATCACCTGGAGCTCTCAAATGTATAGCTTCATCAGCTTCACTTTTCAGCTTTCATAAACCCATCTCTTTGATATTTATTCTTGGATATCTTAAATGCATCTCAAACTCAACATGCCTAAAACCAAATACATGGTTAGTGCCTAAAATCTGATTCTTTTCCAGTATTCCCTATTTCAGTTAAGGCTACCACTGTACTTTAATTTGTGAAAATCTGAAAGGTAAACATTCTTGATTTCTTCATCTTTCATAACTCTATAGCCAAATTATTACTAAGTATTGCAAGTCTTATCTCCCAAACAATCCATCCTTTTCCCTTCCTTTACAGAAGCACAGCCTCATTCTAAACTGTCATATTCTCTTGTCAGGGATGTTGTAATATTGGTTATTCACTCTGGTCCTTCTCTTTCAATTCTCCATACAGCTGCCAGAATGGTCCCTTCAAAGTGCAAATTCAGTCAGCTTTTCTCTTAACACTATTCAGTGATGTCCCACTGCTCTTAAAGGCAAAACTTTTTTATAAAAACCTAACGTCATCTGATCCCTTTCCACTATCCAGCTGTACTTAGACTATCACTCTTTGCCTATCTGTTTCAATCATACAGTGTTTTCTGTAGTCTCATTCTCTTTCATTCATTCATTCAGTAAGTATCTGTTGAGTGCCTACTATTTAATGGGACATTGAAAATGTACCAGTGAGCACAATGTATAAAAGTCCCTATTCATAGAGCTTATATTTTACCAAGGAGAGGTAGACAACAAATGTGTATGTTATAATAAAGAAATGCAGTGGGAAAAAGTATGAACCAACTGGGAAAAGGAATAAGGAAGTGCCAGGTGGTGGGGAGAAAGATTGATTTTTAAGTGATCAGAGAAGACCTAATGAAGGGGAAATTTGAGGAGACCTGGGTGGGAGAATGAGTAAGTCTTGCAGACTCCTTGAGGAAGAACATTTATGTGAAGAGAACAGCCAATGCAAAGCTGCTGACAGCAGCAAAGTCCTCTACCCTCTCATAGTGAGAAAGAGCATTGTGCCTGGGTGCAGGAGAATAACATGAGGTGATAGAAGAAATAAGTCATGTAGGTGATGGAAAGAACTTTTTTGATTGAGATAGGAAAGGAAGTCATTGAAGGGTTTTGAGTATATGAGTGCATGATCTGACTTTTAAAAAATATTGTCTTTTAAAAAAATTGCATTGAGCGTAGACAATAGAGAAACAAGCATAGAAGCTGAGACACTAGTTAGGAAGCTAAAGTAATCCAGATGTATTGATAGTGGTGTCTTGGTCCAGGGTGATAAAAATGGAGGCAATAGGAAGAGGCCAGAGTCTGGAAATATACTATAACCAACAGATATTGCTGACAGATTGAAAATGTGAAAGAAAAAGAATCAAAAATAACTCAAGAGCAACTGAAGGAAATAATTGTCATTAATTGTTTTGGGAACATTTCCAAAAGTGTACACAGGTGGGGGGGAGATCAGGTGTTTAGTTTGACCACGTTACGTTTGAACTGCTTCTAAAGACACTGAAGTAGAGGTGAGGTTTAGGCCGTTAGATAAATGAGTCTGGAGATGAAGGGAGAGATCTGGCTAGTGGGTATAATTGTAGGTTTCATAGCAGTGTTTTGATAGCAGTTAAAGCCTGAGAATAGTTGGTATTATACAAAGAAGTATTCCATGGAGTTTTGGTTGATTTGGAGTTATCCTCACAGGTTACTATGCAGAGTGGCCAGTGAACTGAGAGGAAAATCCACAATGAGAAATCTTAGAAGCTGAGTGAAGAAAATGGTTAAAGAGGAAGGAGTATTAAGTTACGTTAAATGCTGCTTTAGGTTGGTTGAGACACTGTGGAGGGTAGGTCACTGAGAATCTTGAAAGCAGTTTTGGTGGAAGAAAGAGTAGTAGATATCAAATGGGCATTTTACTTAAGAGAGAGCGGGAGAAAAACTGGAGAATGAGTGTAGATGTAGGCACCTCTGGTTTACAAGCACCAGATTGTTAAAATCTCAGTCTTTGACTCCTTGTCCTGTAGATCTTAGCTTAAATATCACTTTCTCAGAGAAGTTTCCTTGACCTGATTAAATGTCCTTATTAAAA